GCCTGGTCGCACCCCCACCCACCCCCTCAGTGGCGTGGCCTCAGGCAGGCCTGTCGCCTGAGCACTGCAGTGCTTTCTGCTGCTCTCCCCTCCTTGGCCTCGCCTGTTGGTTGGGCCAAGTACCCAGTCCTTTCTAGCCCGTAACCCGACAAAAATCTCCTCTTTCACAAAATGGAAGGCCTGTGTGCCCCATCCTGACCTCAGTGGTTTTCCCCCTTTGCTGATGTTGCTCCTGAATCGGCATTTAGCAAACTTGTTTCTTACAGAAGTCAGACCCTTCCTCTCTCCAGCAATGCCACACATGCAGGCATGCACAAACACACGTGCACACACTCATGCACAATGCTAAAGTCCTCCCACTACATTAGAAAGGTTTTGTGGGGTTTTTTTAACTTACACAGAGGTTTCTCCAGAAGCATAGTATTATGGCTTGAGGAGAGGGCTCACTCTCCTACCCAAGGACATACTTCCTGTAGGGCCCCGGTGCACTTCCTGCCTACAGCGTCCTGAGCTGCCCAATTCAAATGGAAGCTTCGAAATTAAATCCTCTCCTGACACATTCCAGCTCTGGTGTCCTGTCTGGGCTCAGCCCCTTCCACACTAAGTCCGCTGCCTGGAGTTTGGAACACATATCCTGGCCCTCTCCTCACTCTTTCAGGCTCATTCTCTTGCTTGTCTCTTGCTCAGTCTCGACCTTGGGCCACTTGACTCGCTTACACGTACCTCAGGTCTCAATATTTCTCAGCAATATCTTTCATTCATAGGGTTGCCTGATTTGCATAAAAACACAAGACACCCAGTTAAGTTTGAATTTCAGATAAAAAACAAATCTTTTTTTTTTCGGTATAAGCATGTCCCATACAATATTTGGGACATACTTATGCTAAAAAATTACTTGTTTATCTGAAATTCAAATTTGACTGGACACGCTGCATTTGATCTGGCAGCTCTATAGTCATTATTCATTCATTCATCAGGTATTTATGGAGGACTTACCATGTATCGGGCATTATGCTAGGTGCTGGGAAAGCCAGCCAAGCCCCAGTCTTCATATCTTACAGTGTAAATACTTCATGCACACACATACACACACACTATATATATATATAGGACTATAAGAAACTATAGGAAGAGTGTGGATTTTGTGCTAAACCTAATATTTGCATGTCACTAGTTAGTTTTCTTGATTGCTGCATTTGATGAGCTTGCTTTTATAAACATATTAAAATTTACTTACAAAAAAGGCACCCTACAAAAATAATATAATTTTAATGAATAATGACGCCAATATTTCTTGAGCATTTATCACCTACCATGTACTATTTTAAGTGCTTTACATGTACTAATTCTTTTTATCCACATACCAACTTGGTGAAGCAGGGGGCGGTTTTCATCCCCATTTTATAGATAGGAAAGTGGAGGCACAAATAAATTAAGAAATGTACCCAGGCCCACAGCTAGTAAGCAGATGACCCAGGATTTGAACTAGGTTGTCTGAATCAAGAGACCAGCATTTTAACCATTACTCTGTACAGACCAACTCTGGTATTATTGCTTTATAGTTTATAAAGGATTTTCACAGTTTATAACTTAATCCTCCTATATGGTCAGCGAGTTAGATAATATGAATCGCATTTTATAAATGGAAAAACTACACCTCAGAGAGGTTAAGTGATTTGCCTGAGTCCCTTTGCCAGAAAGTATGAAAAGCAACTCTTCAACCTGTCTTTTCATTCCAAATGCTGCACTCTCCCTGCTAGACCATCCGAAAACCCCTTGGAGCTCTTCTAGAACAGTATTGCCCTCAGTGGGTTTCATAAATATTTTTTTAAATCAAGTACTTGTTCCAACACCTAAATCAAGCTCTATTCTAAATGCTTTACAAATATTAACTCATTTCTTCTTCATAACGGTATGAAACAGGTACCGTCTTCATCCCCATTTTTTTTTTTTTGTGAGGAAGATTAGCCCTGAGCTAATATCCATGCCAATCCTCCTCTTTTTGCTGAGGAAGACCAGCTCTGAGCTAACATTTATTGCTAATCCTCCTCCTTTTTTTTTTTCCCTTTTTTGCCCCAAAGCCCCAGTAGACACTTACACGTCATAGTTGCACATCCTTCTAGTTGCTGTGTGTGGGACGTAGCCTCAGCATGGCCAGACAAGCGGTCCGTCGGTGCACGCCCCGGATCCGAACCCGGGCCGCCAGTAGCAGAGCACGCGCACTTAACCGCTAAGCCACAGAGCCGGCCCCTCATCCCCGTTTTAAACGTGAGGAAAGTGAACCATAGAGAGTAAGTCACATAACCGCTAGTGGCAGAGCCAGGATTTGAACCCAGACAATCTCAGAACAAGAAAAAGTTCCACAAGTCGTCGTCCAGTGCCTTTTTGTGTCGGGCGTTGTTGTAGGCATTGGGCACGCGGCACAGATATCACAGCACACCAACATGCCTGTCCTCGTGGTCCTTATATCTAGATAAACTGGAAGACCTGGGAAAGGATCCTGATGGGTGTGACTTAACCCGGCACCAAGAGAGGGGAGAATTGTTGACCGAGAGAATGCTGTGGGGGGCGGGGAGGGGAGGGGCGGGGTGGGGAGGGGAGGGGCGAGGGCAGAAATCTGGGAGGAGCGCGTGCTCTGTGCAGATGTTGTGAGTCCTGACAGCAAAAGGCTCTCTGTGGTGCATAGTGAGTGTGAAACTGGGAGAAGCTGAGGGAAGAAAGACTGTCAAAGCCAAAGCCCTGGAATAGGACAGGAACGTGGAGAGTCAGAAGGGAGGAGGCAGCCTAGTGGTCATGCCCCGCCTCACGCCACACCCCTTGAGCATTTGCTTGTGTTCGGTTACCTGAGCCAGGTGTTGGGGCTCAGGCATCGCGTGAATGTGTCTATGTGTGTAGTCGGCATCTCAGGTTTTGCAGCTCTGCCCTTGGCCACACTGGGAAATCCATTTCTGTCCCCTCCCTCTGCACCTGATGTCATGGCATAGCCCCCTGCAGCCACCTCCCGGCCTGGCTTCCATCAGAACTCACCCAGCCAGGGGCCGTTGCTTTCTCGGGGCCTGGCGGAGGAGCTGGTCCTCTGAGGAACAGCTTCTGTTTCAGCCAGTGTGAGTCTCTTTCGAATAGAGGAGCGGAAACAAGGATGGAAACGGGAAGCGCCTGGCAGGTCAGCAGGAGAGCTATTTCAGCCCCTACACCTCTTGCAAATAGTAGAATCAGAGGGAAAAGTTAGAGAATATCCAATGTGAAAGCTGAGGACCAAGGAGATTGAGAGACTGCCCAAGGACATTGCAAGGTAGAAGCTGAGCCAGCCCTGACCTTTGGCCTCCAGACACCCCGTCCAATTTATCTGTACCCTGTCACACTGCCTCAAACCCTATCTGCAGTCACTGTCTCATTTTTGGCATGAGAGGATACAGTGGAAAGAAAAGGAGGAATATGCCAGTCGGTCCCATTAATATCACTGTAGCTTATTTATTACCACACCAGCTCACGTGCCAGGAGACGGTCTTAAAGTAGGACCCTTAAGGGAAGGGAACATGATTAAGAGCCACGTGAAGGAGAGACTCAGAGGGCCTGGGATGACAGTAGTACTAGAAAAAGAAATAATAGCCACCATTTTTTGAGCTAGGTTCTGGGTTGGGACTTCTCATGCATGATCTGGTGCCTTCAAATATCCACGCAAGACGACTATTATTATTTTCAGTTTTCCTCTAGGAAGCTTAAATTCAGAGAGGTGAAGTAACCTGCCCCAGGTCACACACTCTAGTCAGTGATATGGCCAGAATTTGGACTCAGGACTGTCAGACTGAGAAGCCCAAGCTGTTTTCCAGTACACCCACTGCCTGTGAAATTTTAATCCATTCAGAGTTGGTAATCCGGGCTTTCTGGCATCTGGGACAAAAAGGAAAATGTAGTCCTTAACATACAACAGAAGAAAGCAAAGTAGATTATTAATAAAAAGAAGTGATTTCCTAGCAGGAAACCAGAAAAGGAGTTATATCATGAAAACTTAAATTGAACAAAATCAGTTTATTATATCTATCCGGTTATTCATTGGGAAATAAAGATAAAACCCCTCCATCCTTGTCATTTTAGTGCCTGTATCTATCTTTCTAAAACATGCCTGTCATCACATCACTCTCCTGCTCAAAACTTTGAAAAGCTCTCCATCGCCTCCATCAGTGCTCTTCAAATTTGTAAAAAATAGCAGGATTTTTTTCAGATGAAATCTTACATGGAATGCCAAATATGGCAAGAAATAGATGCGAACCTGGACAAGCTAAAGCAGAGGGTAAAGAAGGGAGAGAGGATGGGAAGAACCAGGGACCTCAGACGCCCCGATGTAGCCTCCCCTTTTGCCCACCTACCCTCTCCCAAGAAGGCTTTTAACTGCCCTCCACAGTCTAGGGTGCCTTTTGAAATGTACTGATGGATCTGACATGAGAAAATGCAAAGCTTTCGGCCCGACATTCAAAGGCCCCCCTAACATGGCCCCAACTGCCATTTCACTCATCGTCCCTCCACATCCCTGAGCCCCAGCTCCCCACAAAGCACGTGCTTATTCTGTATAGTTCTCTCACCCCTCTTCAAACACATCCTAAATTCACCCATAGTCTACCCTCTGCCAATCCTGTTCTTAGCCCCAATATCCATCCACCCATCTAAACCCTTCCTATCTTTCAAGGACTCTTCCTTTGCCCTCTATGGCAGCTGTCTATTCCTCCCCCATCTCCCACACTGGCTGTCTGCAACTCTGTTCCAGCACCTAGCTCACTCTCTGTTTGGAGTTTTCTATGTACATGCCTCTCTTCCTCATCCCTTTAAGATCGAACTTTCAGAAAGAACCCTGGCTTTCCATTTCTGATTACCCCGTGCCTCTCAGCACAAATGAAAATAGGTGTTCAGTAAATGCTTATTGAATTTCACCTCTGTCTCTCCTGACCTGCAAAGAGTAGACTGCCCACAGGTGGAAGGATGGCATGTGGACTTTGTCGTTGCAGGCCCACCATGTGCACCACCAGTGCGTGTGACCTGGAGGAGGTCCCTCTGGATGATGATGACCCAAACAGCTTAGAATTCAAAATCCTGGAATTCTACGTCAAACACCACGTCTTCAAGAACACTTCTGCTGTCTTCTCACCAAAGCTGCTGAGGACAAGAAGTTTGTCCCAGAAAGGGGTGGTGGCTTGTTCAGCAAACGAGTCATGGACACAGGTGTCGTGGCCTTGCAGAAATTCCCAATCCAGTGAGAAGACCATAAACCTTGCCAAGAAGAAGTCTTCTTGGAGAACGCTCTTTGGAGTAGTAGAGAAGGAGGAAGATGCACAGAGTTTGCCTACAGTGTACCGTGCTCAGGATCTTAGACTACTGAAACCTCAGGGTTCTCGCAGTCACCAGTCATCTAGGGACCTTTCTAACGTGGAACAGCACTCAGAGGATGAAGGTAGGCTTTTGGAAATTCTTCTTTCCTGGAACCAAATCTTTCTCTTCTTTGTGTGCATGTTCATCTCCTCCCAGCTAACAACGTGGCCTCATATGCCTCAGTCTCCCAACTTATTAATATGCAGTAATAATTGCCCTACTTTTCTCAAGCCTGAGCAGAAAGGAAGAGGATGGCAGTGAAGGGTGACGGGACTGCGTTTCTGGGTCCACTGTCTATAAATGAGCTTGCTGTCCAAATTCCTAATCCTCTAAACAGGGGCTCAGGCTGCCGCTCTTACCGAGGTAAGTCAACCCACCTCTCTGGGCCTCTGTTTCTGTCTGTACATCCCACCCTCTCTACTGCTTAGGGTGGATGGAAAGATCAGGTAGCTATATATAAATACACTTTTCAAAGTATAAACCACTCTAAAAAAAGAACTGAGAAGCATTTTGACAAAACCTTCCCTCCGTGAGACATTTTCACAAAAGGCCTTATCATAGAGAGTTGCCCTTCATCCACAAACCTGGGCATAAGCATCTTCTTCCCCTTCAGCAATGCCTAGTGCCCATTGCCCAGTGCCCAATGCCCAGATTTTAACAGAAAACCCCCCTCCTGCTGAGCTGATTGGACTGTGTAGTTTGTCAATAATTAGTCAACAGGTGGCAGTAATGTCTCAGTTTTAAAATGTTGTGACTGACGTGGACAGCTTTAGATCATTCACTATGATCAAGGAAACTTCCATTTCCCATTGGACACAGAACTGGAGACAGGAGAAGTTATGGTCAGATTATCTGGGGCACTCCGCCTCCCCCCAGTGGTATAGCAATCCCCTTCTGCTGGGGCTGGTAGCTGAGCTCTAGAGCAAACAGAACAGTTTAGAGGCACCGAAATAGGCTTTTCTGCTTGGCCTGGTCTCTGGACTTTGCCAGGAGACAGAGGAAGATTTTACAAACTTTCATCTTCTGGCTTTCGTGAGATAAATGGCATTCTACATTTCAATATTACTGAAGTATCATTTGACCTTTTTTATTTTCCAAAACTTCAAGAGCTCTATATAGGTATACAGAGATCTCTAAAAAAGTAGAAACGATTACGTCCTAAGGAGGCTTAGCTTTAAACATTTATGTACAGAGTATCCTCTCTTCTCACCTTTCTCTTTCCTTGCTTTCTTGTTTAGCTAATTGTCTGGGTGGTTAGTAGGTTTTATGTTGGATGTGACCCAAGAGAGCCTCGCATTCTATTTCTGTTTTGCCGCATACAAATCAGAGCTCAGCAGTTGGCTTCACCTGGGTTCTTTTAACTAAAGGTCACAATTTAGCCTGAGCTGCCATTTCCAGGATTCAGACACCAGGCTAAGTGAGAACTATGAGGTTATGTGCCAAGACCAAAGTTTAGTAGCGAGAGGCCGTGTGAAGTAGAAAAATGAACGTCAACACCAATTTTAGAAACGACCAACCCAGGTTCTTTTACTTGTGAATTTTTCCTTCTCCACAGCTATGATTCGCTACAAGTGGAATGTTACAGTTAAGATTAGGTTCAGCAACATATAGCAGAAAACTCAAATAACTGTGGCTTAAATAATATAGAGGTTATTTTTCTCTCCCATAAAAGGAGACAAAGTTTGGCAGCCCAGGCCTGATATGGCAGCTTCACAGTCATTAGAGATTTTTATTCTGCCATCCCTCAGCTAGTGGCTTCCAACCTTATATTCCTTATGTTCCAAAGTGGCTGCTGGGACACCAGCCATCATGTCTACATTTCAAGCAGGAAGAAACAGGAAACAAGGGAAGGACAAAAGGGTGGCTTCTTTCTAGATAATTCAGCTCTCTTTCAGAAAGCATTCTTAAAACTGCACCCAACTTTTTACATCTCATTGGTCATGCCCTACTGCAAGGGAGGCTGGGAAATGTAGTTTTTTCAGCTGGGTCCATTGCTACCTCTTACATTTCAGTGGTCTTTTACTAAGAAAGAAGAAAATGGAAACTGGGTGGGAAATAGCAGTCTCAACCATATAGAAATCTCTCCCCAACTCCCTGCCCCTTCTCTTTAAAATGAATGCCTCAGGCCAAAGGCTGACTGGCACCTTCCCAACCCTGCTCTCTGGCTCTTCTTGGCCCCACAGTGACCCCCCAAAATAGACCCCAAAGAATGGGCAGCCTTTCTGTTCTCTCCCTACCCCCATCCAATCTTCCCTTGCCTGTCAGATGGGACCAACTCTGACAAGAGGGGAATCTTTTCTTTTTTCAGTTTTTAAAATTCAGGTATTCAAGATGGAAATCTTAACTAAGAAGCTAGCTCATCTGAGTCAAAATGTGTTTGCTTATAGCTTTTCCTGCACATATTTCATCTGCATCCCTCCCTCCATGCCTACCAATTCATGGAAATTGACACACTGTACACAGGTTCGCCAGATTGGGTACTTCTGCGCCCGCTGGTGGTCTCATGATGGCCCTGCCACGTGGCGGGGCCTGGGGGCTGAGGAGGGAGCCTTTGGGGCCTTCATCTGCCTCCTTTGAGCGCAAGATGGGCACAGTGTGACTTCTGGTGGAAGAGCCATGCGCTGATCACCCTAGACAGGCTGCACAAGGTTATAGAGGGAGAAAATGTAAGTGTTTCTTTCCCATCTCCTCCTGACACGAGGGACGGCTTCCTCTGGCTCCGGGATCCAGTCTGTTGCCGTTTCTTTGCCAGAGGCCATGGACAGCCAGCGTTTGAGAGGAAGCTGGTTGGGCTGCAATAAGGTGATTTAAGAGTGGAAAGTATATTTGGTTTGGTTGTTAAAATGGGAAGAAAAAGCATTGATCTCTCTCTCCTTGACCTCTCCAATTCTTCTCTCTGTAATTCACTCATGTGTTTTTGAACCCTATGGATGGAGCATAAAAAATACAGCTTCTTAAGGAAGCCATAGTGCCTTTTGTTAAAGGAAGGGATACGGACAGAGCAGTAGTTCCCGCGGCCTTTCAGTGAATGCCCAGAGGGACAAAGGGCGAGCACCAAAGCTTTCACGCTATGGAGGAATCCGGGGAAGAGGACCAGAAACCACCTTGGCAGCTCAGCAGGATGTCAAAACCTGCTTGTCAAGTGACGCAATCCCTCCCGGGACCCAGGCCTTGCCTCTCATCCATCCTAATTTACTAAGCCCAGGACTTCCCCCGGCACACCCACCTTCCAGCCAAAACCCCACTTTGTTAACTTTCTTCAAGTCTTGTGAATTAAATACTGTTGTTTTTCAAACATTACATTACAGAGCTGCTCCATATGGCAGCAAAGATAGAGTTTGTGTAAGCTTCTAAAATTTAAGCACTTAATGACAAAACGACAATGAAAATTTTGCTGCCAAACAACTCAGCAACACTGGCTGCCCTCCCTGCTCATCCCTGACGAGGGGCAAAGCTGACATCTTTCACAGGCTATGACAATCCTTGGGTCAATCCATTTAAACCTTCATGTCCCAAAATGCTTTATTCTATAGTTATGTGAGCAAATACATGATGTAACTCTTCCTGAATTATAAATTCTTGAAGGCCGTGGGTTGCACTTTATGCATCCTTGTTGACCTATCAGCATTAACTGAGTGTTTCCCAGTAGACATGGAGGAGAGAAAAGACACGTGACTATACAAGCCAGGGGAAGTTCTGAGTTTACTTGACAATGGGAGTGAGTAATGAACATGGCCTGAGAGCAGGGATATTTCTCTCTCCTCAGTGACCAACCCCCAAAGGCTTGTCAAACGACTGAATGTCCTCCTATGCACACAGGCGCCAGCTCTCCAAGATATAAAGGATGTCCAAGGATAAAAAAGAATAAAAATAAAAGCATAATGAGCATTCCCTCAAGCAAAGAATTAAGCACTCCCTTTTGTGTTTCCTCCCTTGCAAAGGGGAAAGGGGACCCTAATTTTGCAAGACTTCAAAAAGAGGGTGCAGAAGGGCAATTGTTTCAAGGTGGCAATCATTATTCTGTGTACTCCGCCCGCCATCCCAGCCTCTGCCAGGCAACTGCCAGTGCCTTCAGAAGAATGGGCCTCGCCCGCGCACACGCTCCCAGGCCGCTTCCTCTCACTCTGGGCTGGTCTTTTCATTTCGGGCAACTGTGCATACCAATGAGCTAGACAAAGTTCTTCTGGAAAGGGCCTCTCAGCACCATTTTGTCTTGTTTTCAGCTGTGGACCCCAAAGTTGTTTCCATTGCCAACCGAGTTGCTGAAATCGTCTATTCCTGGCCGCCGCCAGAAGAGCCCCAGAACCTGGGAGGGCGCTACAGGTTTGAGGGGCTTGTTGAACAACGGGTTCTCCACCCCCAGCCCCAGAGCTCCCAGTCTAGACCTGCAAGTGCCAAGAAAGGTAAACTTCCCTTCCGAGCGTCTGCGTTGGGTTGAATGTTTTCCAGGCAGAGGTATATGAGCATTTATGTATTTATGCAGCTCGGGGCTCTGCAACTTGGGAATCTCTGCTGACCTGGACCAAGGGTGTAACAGCAACATGCTGGAGGCAGTGGCCTCTAGCTTGAGAGACCAGCCCAAGCCCAGGGGAGTGCGCCAGCAGATTGAAGTAACATGCCAGGCTCACTGCTAAGTCCAAAGAAAAGTCTCCTACTGAGGGAGAGGAGGAAGTACAGAGCGTGCACTCAACCTTGTCCACAGGGGGAAATGCAGTGTTGGATTTAACCATGGTAGCAACGGCCAAGGACCAGTTTGCTCATGGGAGTGCATAGGGTGTGGATGGAGCATCCACCCGGGGATTTATAATATTGCCTTGGGCTCCCATGAAAAAGCAGAGGGTTGTCAGACCTTCTGGTGCAGAACATGAAGCAGAACTGAGAAGTAGTGACCAGACTGGGTCGGTTGTCACCAAAACTGTAGCAATAGCTAGGTAGGACTGTAGATCCCATCAGAGTTGCAGGAATTCTGGAGTCGAGGGGAGCAGGACCAAGTACCACAGGAAGAGAAGTTCAGGCCTGCATCTCTCACTAACGATGGTCCTCGCTCGGGGCTCTTTCCCCAAACTCCAGTGGAGGATGAGGAGCTGAGGTGGCTCTGGGTTTGCGGCACACCCAAGCACAAGGCAAAAGTTCTCCCTCCAAAGGTATTGGTGTCTCCCAACCCCGGAAGCAGAGTGGTGCGTTTGTCCACCCAGTGCTGTGCTGCTGGGACCACAAACTACCACAGGGGCTTAGAGTGAGGAGCTGGAGGAGAGGAGGGGCCCTCTGAGTCTGTGAAAAACAAAGTGTCTCCGCTTTATTACTGTCTCATGTGTGTCTGGGCGATGTAAAGCAATACCCCAAACCAAGCTAAAGCTAAGGCTCTTGTCCTCTGTGCACGTGAGAAATTCGGGCCACTCTTACAGCAACGTTCCCTGAGAGAGGCGGCACCAGATAAAAACTACACGTGGGCGATGGAGACCCGCTTTCTTTCTTCCCCCAGGTGACTTGAGTCTCAGACTTCCCACTTACCTCTTACCTTGCCCTTCACCAGACCTTTTTGGGACGTGACATGCTGGATTAATTTTCTGGCACCTCTTTCCTCTTATCTGGGACAAACATGAGGACTCTGTGACTTCAGAGATTGTGCCATAAGCAAAATATGCTGTTCTCTCAGTAACTGGATTTTCTGTTTGGATTCTGTTCCATAGCAATGACCATTTTCATCACATTTAGTTGTTAGCATATCTTGAGATAAGGACAGTCATACGCCACCTCCCCCGTTCCACCACACACCAACTTTCTGTCTGCCACTTTAGCCTTTGAAGCAGGAGAACTTATTAATTTTGTTTACTTTTACCCCACCTTGTTGTAAAGACATGGCATACAATGTATAAATTTTAAGATAAAGTTAAGATAAAATAAGTTTGAAAGATAATGTAAAAAGAAAAGAGCAGGAAAATGGAATGAGGTGAATTCCCAAACTACAGGCCAGGAAGACTATGCCGCCTCTTAGATGGGACTACAAATTTGTCTCTACACTTTCTAGCCGCTAACACAAGGGGAAAATGATCAAACAGGAGATTTATGGTGTCCATATGGAAGAAGCACCGTCTGCTCAGGAGAAGCCTAAAGACCCGAGGGAAATTTCTCCCAAATATCTTTAGAGATGGGATCATGTATAGTGGAACCATCTTCAACAACATTCTTACAGTAAATATAATGATGAATTTCATGGTGAGAATTGAGGGGCTGTGGGAAAAAAAGAAGAAAAAAAGGAAGGAGGGGACTGAGGAGAGGGTGTCTGGAAGGGTTTGTGCCTGATCAAAGAGGTGAGGTAAAATTTAATTTGCTAAGAATTGCAAAGCAAGGACACTTCTTCCTCAATCCCTAACCAGGCCACCAGCATTGTCACTGGAAAAATTTAAGATTTTTTTACTTAAATGGAATAACTGGAATTTTCCCCTGACAGATGAAGAAGACCAAATAATAGCCAAAATCGTTGAGCTGCTGAAATATTCAGGGGATCAGATGGAAAGAGAGGTACGGAGCTTCTTGAACTAATGTGATTTCTTTCTGTGCCCACGCACTGGTACACGAGAACAGAATTGTACTCCAGGTTGTATTTCTTTTCAAAGTTCTGGTTTCCACTTAGTCCTAAATTTTATTTCCCTTGGAGTCAAAATTCTTCATGCTGGCAGCATCTCAAAAATGAATCACTTTGGAAAACATAAGTAAACCTTCTGGAGCCTCCTTGGAATTTTTGGAAAAGAAAAAAGTAACTTTGTTATTGCAAAAAAAGACACCAATATAAATTAAAATTAGCTGAATAGAATTATTAATCTAGTTCCCCATGTAACTGATCCTAGGGAAGTTTAGACTCTTGCATTTGCCCTGCAGCCTGGATATCTGTGTCCCACAGCTGCTCTAAGGCTCGAGGCCTTTCTGAATCTCCCCCCTAGAGTGGCTGGACTGTTCTCTGCTCAAGGTCTGTCTTAGCAATTCAGCCAGGGAGGCGGGTTAGCGTTACTTGGAGAGCTCTGGATTCCCTGCCATTTAGAAGTTGAGACCCACCATTCCACTAAGGAACTTGTGCAAGCTGCCTTCAGATAAAGAGTTGGTGAGCAGGCTCCCACTGGAGTCAGAAGAGCAATCTCTTCTGTGTCCATCACCTACTGACTGCTGAGTAGTTTCTAGGGCCTGTCAATCAGGGGCTGGCCTATGGACCTATTTCCTTGTTTTGCCAGGATCCGTGGGGAAGAAGTCAGGCCCTGTGGGGCTTCAGCAGGAAGGGGAAACAGCACTAACTGGCCAGCCACCATCCCCTAGTCACAGCACGCTCAGCGGCTCTGCTCTCAATGCCTTTGTCAGAGGTGTGCCCAGAGGATGGTGACCAGGAGGGTGAAGGTCATGGGAGATGGTGCAGAATGAGAAACAATGAGAAAACTGGGGATATCAGACTAAAGAAAAAAGAAGGGAGTGTGTGAGCTTTGGGGCCATAAGTAAAGGATGGATAGGCGTGCAGAGGAAGCAGAAAATAGAACACGGTGCATGATTTAAGGACACCCCTGTGTTTCTCCAGAACTAACATCAATGGATAGGAGTTATGGGGCAATTACTTTCTCCCCATTTTAAGAACGAACTTTCTAGCACTGGGGGGGCTGCCTATCAAAGCCAAGGGCTGCCTCGTGAAAGAATGATCTTCCTGTCACCAGAAGAATTTCAAGTAGAGGCCAATAACCAGCCAGCAGTTCAGTACGTGCACTGGGAAGGATCCATTAGATGTCCTCGAGGAGTTTTTACAGCTTGAAAGTTCTGTGGCTCTTGGGACAACCTCCTCCCCGGCCTCCCTAAGCAGTGACTTGCAGCAGGTCAGGGAGACCGGGGACAGGAGGTGGCATGAAGGCGACCCCTCTGGTTATGAAGAGAGATGCTTTCCTTTTCACCCCACAAATTACCACTTTAAAAACCCTCACTTTGCCTGAGGCACTCTCTTGATGATTTGGGGCAATACTTTACATTATTTATGTAGGAAGCGTGGTTTTTGTTCCCTTTATGTGGTTCCCCAGTAAAGGAGTGTGGTAGCAACACGGAAGGTCTGACTTGTGCTGTGTGGTTGTGCGTTCCCACCAGAATGGGACAGTGACATGAGGAGAGGCCCCGCCACGGCTGCAGAGTGTCTGCAAAGCCGCCCATCCGCCAGAGCACATACAGGCTCGTCCTACACCTCCCTGAGAGGTCAAAGAGCAGGTGCAACCGAAAGAGGCAGGGCTACTCTGTGGGAGGTTCTGGCATTTGATTATTTTACTGTTCTGGCAGAGTGCAGGCTTCCAGCCACCACTGAAGTTTCGAGTCTAGCTTCTTCAAGTGGTCACTGATTAAGAGGAGTCCATTCTTGGTGTGGAGGCCGCTGGTCGTTCCTGCTTCAGATTTATAATTCCCATAGGCCCCTGTGTCTCCCGGAAGTTGAGGGGTGGGCTGGGCTCAGATAAAGAACACCGCTCCACCGAAATCGTTACATAGCATCTGACTCATCTCCAGAGCATCCCTTTTAGAAACAATATTTGTGGAAAACCTGCTGAGCTTATCATTCCTGAAGGACAGAACTAGAGGATTTTCAAATAAACATTTAGTCCCTGCTCACGAAAAAATTTCTTTTTTTGCATGACAACCATCATATTAACGGACATGGCGAGGATGGTTTTAAATGAAGAGGATTTATGACAGAAGGTCTGATTTTTCAGAAGAAGTAGAAGCAGTATTGATTTTTTTTAATGGTATGGTAGTCCAAAGGAGGTAAAGCAGAGAGAAGCAAGGTTCAAGAGAGGGGTGTGAGGTAAAATAGATAGAACAATGGAAAGAAATCAGTGGATTTGTTTGTTTGTTTTTTAAGTGAATATATGCACCTCAGGAGTCTTCCTTTGCTCTCGTAGCATCCTGAAAAATTACTAACATTTCAAGAGCACTTCTCTGTGTCAGGCACTGTGCCAGGTGTTTTCCTCAATTACCTTCTGGTACAAGTACTGTCATCATCCCAGTTTAGAGAAGACAGAACTGAGGCTGAGAGGTTAAGTGATCTCCCTGAGATTTCACAGCTAGTAAGAGGTGGAGCAGAGGTTTGAGCCAAGACAGTGATTTCCAGACTTCGGATTCTGTCCATGATGAGACCTCTAGCAAAGCCCTTGGCAGCATCTTGCAACTGTCACTAGACTATGAACCCTTTGAGTGAGGCCTGGGTCTTAATCACCCACAGTACCTGCCCACTGTTAAGTGCTCAGGAAACATTCGCTGAATGTTGAATGAATGGGCTGTTCAGTTTTATCACTTGTTTGTCCCGATGAAATGAATTCACAGAGCAGGTACACGCTCGATCCAGGGTTCTGCAGGACCCTGTGGCATGGTGAGACTAGAGTCCAGGGTTTCTCCATTGGGTGTTTTAGTGGCCCACTGTTGAGCTGGGGAGTCTGCTCCCTGGGCCAACCTGCTCTACTGAATGCTTATTCTCTTGTACACAGCTGAAGAGGGACAAGGCTTTGAAGAGCTTCCAGAACAGGCTGTCCTACTCTGTTATCGAGACCATCACAGACCAGTTCCTAATGGGTGTGGACACGAGGGGAGAATCAGAGGTCAAAGCTCAGGGCTTTAAGGCTGCTCTTGCAATAGACGTCATGGCCAAGCTCACTGCCGTCTACAACCACCCCATGAACAGGATGCTGGGCTTCGGAACCAGGTACCTGAAAGAGCGCTTCTCGCCCTGGGTCCAGCAGCACGGTGGATGGGTAAGTGCATCCTATTTAAAAATGAACCTTCCCTGGGGGCCGGCGCGGTGGTGCAAGTGGTTAAGTGCGCTCCGCTGCAGCACCGACGCACCGCTTGTCAGGCCGTGCTGTGGCGGCGTCCCACATAAAGTGGAGGAAGATGGGCACGGATGTTAGCCCAGGGCCAGTCTTCCTCAGCAAAAAGAGGAGGATTGGCAGATGTTAGCTCAGGGCTGATCTCACAAAAAAAAAAAAAAATGAATCTTCCCAGAACTCAGATGAGATGAGATGGAAAGTTTTTTTGAGGGGGGCAGGGGGGTTGTTTTTTTTGAGCGAAGGGAACACATCTGTGAAGCAGTTCTCATGGGTTTAGGACACTTGAGTGGCAAGAGATATATCCCATTGATGGGAACATATTTTTAGTGATTATCTTCATCATCAATAAATATTTACTGAACTCCCAAAGGGTATGTAGGGGATGTGTGTGGGGAGAGAGAGATTGGTCAGATGTAACAGGAAATGAGAGATGTTGAGATATAAAATGTTTAGATAGATATAATTTCTGTTTTCACAAATTTTCAGGCACTGGAAGTCTGGCAGTGAGACAAGAAGAGGCAGTTCCTCGTACTCTCAGATGCTGACAGGGTGTGGGGCTAATGCTCATGCAGAGATTCAGGGTTCATGACGTTTTGTCATTGCTGCATGAACCCAGCCATTTTGACAGGGACATTTTGATACAAACTAAAAAGCCAACAGTTAAATTTTCATCTGTTTTTAATTACCTGATATCAGGCAAAACAGACATCTTCACCCCTGTGCCTCAGCCTCAACCCCTCCCCCATCCTTTTTCCCCATTCTTTGAGATTTTCTTGAAATTGCTGTGTTCAAATGGCTTCATGGCGTCAACCTTGTCCAAATGCTTTACTCCAGAGCTTTAATCTCAATAGGCATGGGGCATTTTTGTCTGTTCAAGCCCTTCCTCAGAGGACAGGCCTTTGCCCCTCATTATCCTTGGTTCTCTTTCCACTAGAATGGTCCAGGGGCCAGCAGCAGGTTTGAGTCTGCTCTAGGCACGGCCAGCATGACCCTGGGGCCTCCAAACAGGCTTAGTTTCTTGGCTCCCAGAAGGAAAGTACAGCTGATCTTGCCAAAGGGGTGAAGTGCCCACCGTGGTCTTTAGTGGTGCCCATTGAGCTTACCCAGTCTTCTGTTCTTTCCTATTTTCCACTTTTGCACCAGATATGATGGCCCATAACTGGCTGATCTGAACAACTAAGGCTCTTAAGTATTCTAAGTTCAAGTGGCCATACCTCATGCTGAGGATAGATTCCTCGACATTATTTCAGCTTTAATTGTTCTTCCTTCCAGGACCCCCTCAAGTCCCTCCTCTACCCCAGAGCCTTTCCTGACCACTCCAGCTCAAGGTCCTCACCAGCCTCTGACCTCTTACAAAACTTCACGTTTGCACTATAATTATATACAGGAAAACACCATCATTGTTGGGCTTGTTAATATATTTTTCCAGAGAGATTATAAGTATCAATTGGGTTCACAATGAGATATAATTTCACATCTACTAGCATGACTAAAATAAAAAAGACAAGTGTTGGTAAGGATGTGGAGAAATTTGAACCATCACACATTGCTGGTTGGATTCTAAAATGGTCCAGCCCCTTTGGAAAACAACTTGGCAGTTCCCCAAAATGTCAAACATAGAGTTACCAATTCCACTCTTAGATATATACCCAAGAAAACTGAAAACAAATGTTCACATAAAAACTTGTATATGATGTTGACAGCAGCATTCATTATTCATAATATCCAAAGAGTAGAAACAACCCAAATGTTCATCAATGATGAATGATAAATGGAAAAACCAAATGTGGTATATCCATACAATGGAATATTATTCAGTCATAAAAGGGAATGAAGTACTGACAGAAGGATGAACCTTGAAAACATTAGGCCAAGCAAAAGAAGTCAGACAAAAGGACCATATATTGTATGATTCCATTTACGGGAAATGTCCAGAATAGGCAAATTCATAGTCAGATTAGTGGTTTCCTGGTCTTTGGGGAGAGGGAATGAGGAATGACAGCCAATGGATAAGGAGTTTCCTTTTGTGGTGATGAAAATGTTCTAAAATCAGATAAAGGTGATGGTTGCACAATTCTGTGAATATACTAAAAGCCACTGAATTATATGATTTAAAAGGATAAATTTTATGGTATATTTCAATAAATCTGTTATGAAAAATAGTGGTTCTAATTCTAGTAAGCAAATAAAAAGAGGAAAGAAAAAAGAATACAAATGTTTTTATCCCTTATTTTTTAATTTGGCTGCTGGTGCTAGAGAGAAAAAGAGTTCCAACGAGAGAAAATAGATGAATTGTTTGGTAGAAATAAGAAAGGGAATTTTCAAAGGCTTTAGAAGTTGTTGGCACCAGTTCTTTATCATTTGTAGTTTCTTTTTTTTTTTTTTTTGGTGAGGAAGATCAGCCCTGAGCTAACATCTGTTGCCGATCTTCCTGTTTTTTTGCTGAGGAAGATTGGCCCTGAGCTAACATCCGTGCCCATCTTCCTCCACTTTATATGGGACACCGCCATAGCATGGCTTGACAAGCGGTGTGTCGGAGCGTGCCTGGGGTTCCGAACCCGGGCCACCAGCAGCGGAGCGCACGCACTTAACCACTGCGCCACCGGGCCGGCCCCTATCATTTGTAGTTTCAATTCAAAATTTATTAGTTTACTTTTCCAGGTTATCACAAATCCTAATCTTAAGTCTTGGCCGTAGTTAGGTTTAATTTGGAGTATGTAGCTGAAAATTAGGAGAGGGAGGAAAAAGAATGAGAGAGAAAGGACTAATTTTTCCAAAGTGACAGAGAAAGAGTTGCAAAAAATAAAGGAGGATGTTGATAAAAGAATATTTATGAGTTGATATGACTAGGAAAGTGTGAAGGAGATGTGATTTGAGACCTGTGCTCAGTCTCCCTGAACAGGAAAGATGACACTGAAAGACAAGCCTCCAGGAACTTCCATTGGCCCCAGGTATTTTGGTGGTTCTCTGGGGTGTCCTTGCAGCAGTATGGAAGGAAGAAAACTATTCCTTTGGCACAAGCTTTCCAGGAGCTAGGGTTCCTAACTATCTCAGTATTCCACGTTTCATATGAGTGCATCTAATCTTCCCAACTAAACTGCAAATCTGTGAGGGCAGGATATTGCATTTATTTTATGCCTCTTTGTATCTCTCATAGCTGCCATTACTTTTATATACATCATAGATGTTCAGCCAAAACTTGTAGAATAGTGAATGAATCAGTCAAATGAATGAATAGCAACTTTATCTACCAAGCATGCTGAACAACCTACTATGAGATTTTTAATTGACTCCTTGGCCCTTTTTCCTCACAGTGGAGCACCATTCACATAGTTACCTTCTGATTTTGCAACCTCACCCATTCTACAGCACTTTGAAAGGAGAGATTTGCAACCTCCATAGTCATTAACCTTTCAGTATCTACTTTTTTGAATTTTAAATACAGCATTAAAGCCTTTTTCCATCTAGGCTGTTAACCCTGGATGTATAACCTAAGTCCTTAGCTGATGTTTTCCTTTCAGGCATACCAAGGATGCCAGTCACCTTTCCAAACCCTCCCCCAACCCCAACACAGTCTCCGAGCCTCAGGCCATGCCTGGGATAAGAGAGCAGAGTTAACAGGCTTATGTTTTCATGTGATTCAACAGTGAATCAAACTTGGAATTTTAAGAATCTATTTCTCTTTTTCCCCTCTAGGCAAAAGTGCTTGGGATATCACATGAAGAGGTAGACTGAAACATCAGAAGATTTGGAATCTGGAATACTCACTGTCCAACTGTGGTCCTGTGTACATCGGTCTCAGCATAGATTACAGGAGAAAATAAAAATGTACAAGGCAGATGGAGCATTGAAGTGTTCAAACCCATTATTCCTGTGAATCAAGAGGCATCAGGAGAGGCCTTGTTCGTCTCCAGCTCATAGAGTGTAGTAGCATGGTCCTTGACATCTGCATTTTTCAGGCCCTCCATTGAGTGTATGAGGAGGTCTAGAAAACAAGTGGCAATTCTCCTTTCAGATGTTCAGAACAGAAACCATCATCCTGCCTCTGTTGGCCACTTTAGGGAAAGTGTGTTACAGATATAAGCTGAGCTCATGAGGGCGAAATGATAAATTGTGCATGTGCTGACTCTTTGGTTTCCGGGACTGTTTATTTTTTAAACTACACTTGGGATGGCCTAATAATGACATTGTTTCAAGCTTACCTTTAGAAAGATGTTGCTGTTCATGTTGGTAGACATAGCTGAAGAGACTCTTGAGTTTACTGCTATATCTGCTAGTTTGGGGGGATACTACATATTTGCCTTTTTGACTCACTTCTCTGGAAAAATTCTTTGGCAGTTTGAAAAACTTCCATTTGGCAAAAAACAATTACTCCTACCACCCACAACTCTCTCAGTGACCCCACCTCTATTTCTCAAGGTCTCTGGGACTTTCTTTGTTATATCTCGTGGTAGTGTAATAATTACTAGCTGGAAAAATAAATATGTGGAAAGACCACTTATGATGTGGAAAGACTAGTCAAAAGAGTATTGTTAAAATAAGTAATAATATTAAGATTCTTATGAGACTCAAATGAGTTAATTTATAGAAAGTGCTTAGAACAGCTCTTGGTGTTTAGCGCTAAGTGTTCACTTATGTTTATTATTATGTGCTGCCCTCAGCTCAGCTGAAAATTTCCTCTCCTCTCAAAGCAGTCACTGATTGTTTTTTTTCTGAAATTGATACTGTTCAGAATGAGGTTTTCTAGTAAGTGAAATATGTTCCATAGTAAGCATTTAAGACACAACAATTTTTTAAAATACTATCAAATTATAGCGTCTTACAAATTTCTGGATCCCTAGCACCCAGCATGTAGCCTGATGTAAAACAGATGTTTAATAAACCTTTGATAAACGAATAAATGAATGAGTTAATCAGACATACTTTCAGCTTCAAGGGGAAATTGGACCCATCTATTATCACATGCTTTACTACCCCACCCATCTTAATTAAAATGAGTTTTTCTCTTTTACTTTCTTCCCCCACACTGAAAGTCATAAATGTTGGGGATAAAGGAGTCTCCTTTTACAGATGGAGACACTAGTGACCACCTCTTCTCCCACTTTCACCCAACCATTCCAAACTATTTGCATCCCCCGAATGTATTATGCAACCTTGGACCTCTGAGCCTTTGTACCAATATTTTCTCCCCTTGGAGTGTTCTTGCTTGCTGGTCTTCTTTCCCCCTATTTCCACTAATGCAACTAACTCCAACCCATCTTTACAAGTTTACTCCTTCATTTTCTCCAGGAAGCATTTGCTAACCCTCCCTTGGCCACCGTGGGGCTACATTTGGATGCCTTTCCTCATAGGGATGCTCCATAACACCCTGTAATAGATATTATGCTTAATACGTAAGAATACCGTAAGAACCAGTGTTTCCCACTGGACTGTAAACTCTTTTGTAAACAAGTATTATGTCTAATTTAACTTGTATACCTACTGCCTGGCATATTTTCAGTGCACAGTTGCAGAATCATACCCTAGCCTCACTGCTACAACCTGTAAATCAGTAAGATTGGAGTATGGCTCAAGGTATGTGTAGTTTTAACAAGCTCTCCAGGTGTTCCAATATCATCTGCAGCTTCCAGCCAAGATGAAGTAATAGTAACTAAATTTAATCTCCTGCTTAAAATAACTGAAAAAAATAGACAAAATATGCAAAGAACAGTTTTCAAGCCATTGTGCATCAGGTAATGAAGGACTGGTCTCTGAGAGATGAGAAACCAAGTGAGCCCTATGACTGCCCTAGAGTAGTGCAGGTAGAGTTTCCAGGCCATGTAGGAAGGACGAAAACCCACACAGGTCTCAGCAGTCTCCCTGAAGAGAGGAGATAGAGCCCAGGAGTCCAGGAAGGCCAAGGCAGCTAAAGTTTGCAAGAAAATAATGGAGAGAACAGAATGGCACTCAAAGCTCAGAAGACAGGCCCCCTCAAGTTTTCAGATGAATACTGATCAACACATGCATGTGAAGACACTACCCAAAGATTGGGAAAGAACAACCTGAAAGTATTAAGGGAAACACTCTCCAAAGTTCACACAGGGCTCACAGTAGTGCCTATTTCCACTAGTCAGAATGGAAAAATCTCAAAATTTGCATGGCAATAGGTAGAATACTCTACAGAATTTTGCCTCAGCAGTGGGAAAAAATTAGCTCTAGACTAAACCTATTTCTGGTTCTGCCCAACAAAAAAAAAAAAGAGCAAGAACCAACAGGATTAAACTGTTATCAAGTAACTTAGGTATGTTCCAAAACAAAGCTCAAGAATCTTTATAGGATCACAAAAATATCCAACACCCAACAAGGTAACATTCACAATGTCTGGCATCCAATCAAAAATTACAAGGCATGTAAAGAAGCAGGAAAATGAGACCCACAATGAGGGGAAAAATCAAGAAAAACCACCCCAGAAATGATACAGCTGATAGAATTATTAGACAAGGACATTAAAACTATTATAATTGTATTCCATATGCTCAATAAGCCAGAGGAAAGACTGCACATGTCAAGTACACATAGAAATTATAAATATAACTCAAATCAAACTTCTAGAGAAGAAATCTATAACTCTGAGATGAAAAATACACTGGATTGAATTAACAGCAGACTAGACATTGTAGAAGAATAGATAAGTAAACTTGAAGACAGAGCAACAGATCCAAAACAAAACACAGAGAAATAAGACTGGGGAGAAAACAACAACAGAGCAACAGTGAATTGTAGGATGACTTCTATTCACTTAATATATGTATAATTGGAGTGAAGATTTTCCAAATTTGATGAAAACTATAAACCCACAGAACGAAGAAACTCAATGAATGCCAAGCACAAAAAACATGTAGAAAACTACACTAAGGCACATTATAAATTGCTCAAAGCCAGTGATAAAGAAAAAAAATCTTAAAAGTATCCAGAGAAAAAGGCACATTACATACAGAGAAACAAAAAAATGAAAAAAAACTTTTCTTGGGAAACAATACAAGACAGAGGAAAATGGAGTAACATCTTTAAAGTATCAAAAGAAAAAGAAGCTGTCAACATAGAATTCTATAACCAACAAAAAGATGTTTAAAAAGGAAGGTGAAAAAAGGCTTTTTGAGATGTACAAAAGCCAAAAGAATTCCTCACCAGCAGAACTGAGCTACAAAAAGTGTTAAAGGAAGTCCTTTAGGTAGAAGGAAAATAATAACAAATAGAAGTCTGTATCTGCAGGAAAAAAAAGCACTGGAAAAGATAAATATGTGAGTAAATATAAAAGGCTCTTTTTCCTATTTAAATCTCTTTGAAAGATAATGGACCATTTAAAAGAGAAATAATAACAAGGTATTGTAGAGTTCATAACATGTAGAATAAAATGTATGACAATAATAGTACAGAGGCTAGGGAGAGAGATGTAATTACAAAGATGGTAGACAAACCCAATCATAGCAATAATTGCATTAAATGGAAATGGCTAAACACTCCAATTAAAAGGCAGAAATAGAATAGGTTAGGGGCCGGCCCAGTGGCGCAAACAGTTAAGTGCACACGCTCCGCTGCAGCGGCCCGGGGTTCGCCGGTTCGGATCGCGGGTGCACACCGACGCACCGCTTGTCAGGCCATGCTGTGGCGGCGTCCCATATAAAGTGGAGGAAGATGGGCATGGATGTTAGCCCAGAGCCAGTCTTCCTCAGCAAAAAGAAGAGGATTGGCAGATGTTAGCTCAGGGCCAATCTTCCTCACAAAAAAAAATAATAATAATAGGTTAAAAGTAAAAGAATAGAAAAATACACACAGGGCCAGCCCGTAGCATAGTGGTTAAGTGCGCGCTCTCCGCTGCTGGCGGCCTGGGTTCGGATCCTGGGCACGCACCAATACACCGCTTGTCAAGCCATGCTGTGGCTGCGTCCCATATAAAGTGGAGGAAGATGGGCACGGATGTTAGCCCAGGGCCAGTCTTCCTCAGCACAAAAAAGAAAAAAAAAGAGGAGGATTGGCATGGGTGTTAGCTCAGGGCTGATCTTCCTCACAAAAAAAAAAAAAAGAAAGAAAAATACATGCAAAACTTATAAGAAAGCTGAAACAGGTGTATTAATACCAGTCAAAGTAGACTCAGGTCAAGGAATATGAGGACAAAGATGGACATTACATAATGATAAAAGGGTGAATTATTAAGACATAATAAACCTAAATTATGCAGAGTTCAAAATAAAGCAATAACTGACAAAACTAAAAGGTGAATGGGCAAATCCACAATGATAGTTGGAGATTTCAACACTCTTCTCTCAGTAATTGATGGAAGCACATACAAAATCAATAAGGATGTAGAAGACTTGAACAACAATATTAACCAAACTGACCTAATTGACCTTTATAGGAAACTGCATTTAATAACTGCAGAATACTCAGGTAGCCATAAAATAGTCACTATTATGGACCATAGTCTGGCCCATCAAACAAGTCTCAATAAATTTAAAAGGATTAAAATCATGATCATTAAAATCTATGATCATCATGGAATTAAATCTAAAAATAACAAAATGATATCTGGAAAATCCCTGAATATTTAGAAATTAAACACATTTTTATATAATCCATGGTTCAAAGAAGAAATCACAAGTGACTGGAAAATGTTTTGAACTGAAAAATAAATAAAACATCAAAATTTGTGGGATGCAGCTGAAGCATGCTTAGAGGAAAAATGTATGGCTTTAAATGCTTGTATCAGGAAACAACGGTCTAAAATCAGTGATTTAAGCTTCCATCTTAAGCAGCTGGCAAATTTAACCCAAATAAGTAAAAGGAAGGAAATAATGAGTAGAAAACAATGAAATAGAAAATGGACATATGATAGAGAAAAATAAATTAGAACAAGAGCTGATTTTTTGAAAAAATCAATAATATTGATACACCTTCACTTTGACCAAGATAAGACATAAATTATCAATGTCAAAAATGAAAACAGGCATTAAAAAGATAAGGGACAAACTTTATGCCAATAAATTGACAACTTAGATGAAACGAACAAATTTCTTGAGACAAAAATGAGGAAAATTGACATAAAAATAGAAAATATAAATAGCCCTAGATCTAAATTGAGTTCTTACTTAAAAACTTTCCTGTGATATATATACATCTGCTCCTAAGAATCACAGCACCGCGTAGATCTGGAGGTCCTAACCCTTTCCTTCCCATGGAACCCCCAAGCAAAAAGAACTCTAATTACTGGACAAAATACAAGAGTCTTCAAGGCCACACAGTTGGGTAATGGTAGTGGGGGAGCTTTTGATAGGATGATCAGAAGTCAAAAAGCTCTCAAGATAATCACTTTTGCTTGCCATACAGCATGTGCCATACGATGGGCCTTGGGCTGTCTCTTTTTTGAGAGGTATGAATTTCTTTGTAATGCACAGCAAGGCCAGAGAAGAGGCCAGAGGAAAGCAGGCATCAAAAAGGCATCTGCGCAGAATAGGATACCATATAGGTGTTT